TTTTTTTTATGTAAAAATGATTTACTTAATTAATATATTGTTTAGAAAAAAATGAATATTAATCAGTCTTTTCCTTGAAGAATATGTATAGAATATGTGAAGAATATGTGGGTTCACAGTCATTAACCATGCCTCATTTTCCGATCATGATCGTGCTCGATCCCAAGAGTGTTTAGACTTTTTTCCCATCCACATTCGATCATTGGCAACTTTAATTAAACTCAATTTGCAACTGGGATGAACCATCGAGTCCACTACATGAATTATCAATTCCTCTATTCCCACAAAGTTGTAATAATTAAAAAATCGCCTTTATTGAATGCTTTTACAAGAAAGATAGCTTATATGTTTGCCATTTGGAGGTCACCTAGCCATTTGGGAGACCACTGTATCGTAGTGAATTCACATCATTGTCTTTTATTGGAAAAAATATTGTATAACTCGAATTGTATTAAATTATATGGTGCTTATTATTGAATAAGGGATGGATTTCTTAATATTAAGAAACTCTCCTCTTATTTAATGATTTTTGTTTTATAATTTAATATAGTTCAAATTATATATTAAATTATAAAACATGGGACACTTCTTTTATTTATCTTTCATATTTAATTCTTTTTAATAAAATAAAAGTAACTAATAAGAACTTCATATTAAAAATGATAGTTGTTATTCATACATTACATAAAGATATTATCTAAAATTATGTGTAAAGTTAATTAGGAATTAATTATATGGACAAATAAATAGAATTAGATGGAATTAATTTGGTGGCGGTTTATACAATGGGTTTTTCTCTAACTTTGTCTTTTGAAGACATATATATATATTATGTGGTTCAAATTCAAATTATATTGACCTTAACAACTTAAATTAGTGAATGGAGAGCAAACACTAAATATTGGGATTATCTTTCATTTTAATAATCACTGTTTTATAACCCAATATACTTTAAACTACAAAATATAAAACTCTTTCAGAAATCTATTCTCTTTTACTTGAAAAAGTTAGTAGAAGTTAAAGAAGTATTGAAGAGAGAGTCATTAAGAACCTCTTTTGACATAGAAATTAAATTTTTTTGGAAACTATTTAATTGGTCTAATGATAATCCAACATTAGTGGAGTAAAATATTTTAGATTTAAGTTGTAAGCATGTAATAAAGTGAGTCAAAAAAGAAAAATAATTACCTTCTATTATACAATTTCCTACAAAACAAAATGATTGGGTTTCCCCCACAGGTTGACAAGCTTTTGACAATATTATAAATTTTGCTTAACTTTATATTTGAGTTGAAAGAAATAAAAGAGAAGAAAAGCGAGCAGTGAGGAAACTATTCTCCTCCTCTCCTCTTCTCTCATTTGAATAGATAATTAAATTAAAAAAAAAAAATAAAGACAAATTTTTCCTTCCCTTCCTATTTAATTTTTTTGAGCTAAATAAAATTTTTTTTTCTCTCCTTTTCCCGTCATTTCTTATGATCTAAACAGATTATAAATGATAACCTAAGAAGTCACCGAATGGCATTTCTAGAGGGGCCTACTGCTCAATGTACGAATGGGGTAGTTGGGCCCGACCAAGCAATGTTCCTAAATGTTCAATTTTCTAAAGCATTTACTGAGGCCCACTTTAGATAGATGTCCATACTTGAAGTCCGGCCTTTTCTCTTCTTCTTCTTCTTCTTCTTCTTCTTTTTTTTTTTTTTCACGTAGGGGAGAGTCCGAAAAAT